TTTCCCCAAGCAGCGAGATACTTAAGAATGTAAAGATAACTGTAAGCCTTGATTATAAAAGATTTACTGCTATTATGAAGGATAAGCATGCCTTTAAAGATCTTGCTGGATCAAGGATGGAGCTCCTCATACACAGTACTATTAACCCTGCAGGCTCAGGTGCCTGCTCTGATCCCACACATTGCTGAACATAAGCTCAGGTATTTTCACTGCTTTCTGCACAGCAAAATAATAAGATGCTTTTCAGAGTGAAGCAGTCACCAGGGTTCACTTCGCTTTTCTGCACAAGCACTGTTTGAAGGCAGATGAATGTTCAGGCAGCCTAGTAACACACACTGAGTGCATCCATAGATATGGGGAAAAGCCTTCACTCTGTGCTGTCCCTCCTGGTCAGGGATGTCTGCTTCATGGTCATGGAATGGCATGTGCTGAATATTTGTACAAGAGGATTGGAATTCAGTTTGCTGAGGTATCTTCCACCTGATATTCCCAAAAATCATGAGCAATGGCACAACAGACACCTTTCCTCTTAATTATTCCAGCTCTTTATGAGGTTTCTTTTCATCAGAACAACATGGCTCACTCTGGGTGAGCAGGAAACCCTCCTGATCTTAAGGCCCCAGTTTGGTGTTATTCACTGCTGTGCTTCCCAGGTGCAAACAAGCTGAGTGCTCTTGACTCTCACACCTGCTCAAAATACCTGTCATGGAAACCCCAAGTGCAGAGACTGGGCTCTGCTCAGGGCCTGCACTGTATGTGTGTGCAGAAATTTGCAGTCATCTCCCAGTTCCCCAAGTGCCAATACAAGTAAAGATGATGGGAAAAGAGGCAAAACAACTGCTCACAGCTCTGGTGCAACATTTTCACTTACACACCTGAAGTGTTTTCCAAAAGCTGGCAGGTTACTGAAGGGAGAAGTGATGTCTGTAGTGATTTATAGTGTAGCTGAGCCTTGAACAGGGTTCTCCTCCCAGCAGTACTGACCCTGACAGAGAGGCTGTGCCTTCATCCCTGTTGCCTTCTAACAAGGTAAGAAGATGACATCCAGAGAACAGAGCCAGGTGAGGATACCTGCTGACAGCACCACTTTCTCTCACTCTCTGTTAAGGGAGCTAAGTAAAGCACTTCTCTATTTCTAGACTGTCTGCTGAATGCAATCAAGACCTAGTACTACAATTAATTGTGTGCAAAGCCAAAAGTACACAGCACCTGCAATTTACTGCTGAAGGGAGAAGTCACTTCCGTGACACCAAAGGACAAAACCTTGGGAAGGTGCAGAGAGGCCACTCAGCACTTTCTTCTGCCTCCTCCAGCATCAATAAGGTGTAATCTACTGCAACCCTCTGCAGCAGTCCCCAGGATCTTTTCACAGTTGGAGCACATTCCATTTTAGGCTTTCAAGTGCAGCTTGTATTGATTTGCCTTAACCTGTGTGCCTGAGTGTGCTTGAGCTCCCACAATGCAGCCCCATTGTGTTTGACTTAATTTAGACCCTGCAAAACTCCAGCCAAAATTCAGGGACTGGAGGGAGAGAGAAGCTGCCCAAAGATCTGGGGACACAGGGCAATAGGGCAGGGAAGTTGTAGGGCAGTTTGTAGGGCAGGCAGTTGTACTGCCCTTCCAGCTTTTATTCAGTTATTATTTCAAAATACAAAAAATCTTCACTTCCTCAGGAGTACAGGTATTGCTCCAACACCCCCTCCACCTTCATTTTTACTCTGGCCATAGATTCCTCCAGTCTCAATCACTGATCCCAGAGGTTTATTTTGTTCTGTGAAATGCCAGGTCATGCTGAGCAGCTTCACTATGTACAGACAGATTTGTGTGCAGCTTTGTTTCCTTCTGAGCTTAGCAGAATGCAGAATGAAGGCTCACAGGAGCATTGCACTGATACACAAAAGCACATGAAATGGTGCTGAATGTTACAGGGGACCCAACACTACCCTTGGGTGCTGCACAGAAACAAACACAACAGGCTGCCAGAGTCAAAATTCCTGAATTAAAAAAAAACCCAAACTAAAAAATCTAAAGAAATCCCAACACCTTATGGAGTGAAGCAAGAAAACCACTATTGCCACTAAAAGCATGGAGTGGACCAGGTATCAATGCCAACTCTTCTGCATTGTCTTGGTCAAGACAGACTTGATTTGTCTTTCCCACTAAGCAAGCCCAGGCAGCTGTTGAGAGCTGGCACAGTCACAAAGTACAGGTGGAGGCTACTGCCCAGCAGTGCCCACACTGCAGGAGCCAATCCTCCAGGAGTCTCACAGTGCATGGCTGACCCAGCTGTGCACAGAGCCTGCTGGAGCACCTGGAGCACAAAGGACTCCAATGACCCATTTCTCGGGAGCGTGGACAAGCCAGTCCTCAGGGCTGCCCCAGCTCCTCACTGGGCTGACCCACAGGGAGGCTGATACTCCTGCAAGCAGAAAAGAGGGAATCTCCCTAATATTCTCCCTAGCAAGGCAGTGAGACTGTCTCACAAAAAACATGTGTTCTCCTACCTTTGCTTCTCTCTACCATCTGCTGCAGCGGTCCCTGACTGCATGTCTCTGTAGGATGTCTTCCTTTTTCTGCCCCGAAGACATCATGGGGTTCACCAACCTCCTCCTCAGGACACAATGGGCTGAGAAACCCCCTTGCTCTGCCTCTGCCACAGGTGATCTGACTTCTCTGCTGCCCTCACACCTCTGGGGGAGTACAGTCTACAAGAAGTCAGGAGATCCCTGTTGCCAGAGCACAGTGGGGCTGTGCATGGCCACCAAGGGACAGTTTAATAAACAAGGAGGGTGTTTATGGTCTCAGATACCGAGGCAGATGAAGAATATCAATCCTTAATGGTGCTGGTCAGCTACTACCTGAATAGTGGACAAATGCTTGCAGACTGCAGTGCTGCCTTTGGAAAATGAGGTAAGAGGAGAGGAGTGAACTGTAGTGGTTTTCATGGAAATGTCCTTGTGGGTTGTGAGTGCTCAGCTTACCAAAGGTGGATGTGCTGTGATCAGCCCTTCCCTGCTTCAGACCGCAGGAGTGCCATCACTGAAGCTACCAAATACAAAGCCAGTACCCCAAGTGTAACTAATAATGTGTGTAACTATGCCAAATACATGCTTAGTCTTTAAAAAAAAATGAAGTGAAAATATACTCTTGGAGCCTGTGAAGCTACTGTGAATTTTTCTCCTGCTGCTTGTTGTGAAGCCTGTGTGCTCAGTGGTACAGCAACTTAAATGTGATGTTGTACCAGGTGAGAATCTAAAGAAACTATGGGAATTACTGGAATAAGGCAAAAATGGTTTGACTTACATAGTTCTGTCTGCATCAGTTTACTGTGCCTTCAAACAGCCTAAAGGTTTTATATGGGAACTTTCTTCTGGTGTGGCTGCCCTGGCTTGTGCCTCCATCCTTGCCATTAACTGCTCCTTCTTTCAGCTCTGAGTAGTTCCTCAACTACCTTGAAGTCTTACTTTTTGTAAAATTTGTTTTGGTTTGCATGTTGGTATGTTGCCCCAGCCAGTACTTTGTCCTGTGATCTGTAAACTTCTTGTTCTTTGATGACAGTAGTTGAGAGCCTTGTGTAAGAACAGACAAGTCAGAGGGAAGGAAGGAGACAGCAGTGACTCTGAGCCCTTGAACAGCTACAGGAAAGCTGTGGCTCTAATGCAGGCTGATGCAGCCTTCCCTTGAGTCAGGCTGAAAAGGCAGGGGAGGCTTCGACAACGAGGTGGAGATGGATGTTTCTGAAAGATGAATCTTGCTAATCTTGTTCTACATAGGTTTCTCTGAAATAATTCCTTGCTGGTTTGAAATTTGAAAGTGCTTTACCTCAAAACCAATAATTACTCTGTGATTGTCCTGTGAGATGTGGCAAAGGAGAAAACAGCACATAAATTCAAGCACTGCAGTTATCCTTTCAGTCTGCATGTTAACTGCACATAGCTGCCTGTGCAGGAGGAGTGGGATAAGCAATGCTGCTGTGCAGGCTGGTAATCCTCCCTGAGGCACCCAGTTTGTCTTAAAAGCACTGTGATAAATAATCTAATGAATTGCAGGGATGAAATTTCCCCTAGGTAGATAATAATATGCAATAAGTGCCTAAATACTTGTGAATCAGTTAGAATAAAAATAATTACTCTATTAGTATACCTCATAGGTATATTAAAACCTGCCAAACATCATTATGAGGGAGCATGTGGTAACAACATGAAACTGATACAATATTCAACAGCAGCACTGTAGGAGCTGAAATCCCTCTCCTTCCATGGAGGATGTCAGTAAGAACAGAAGTTGGGTTTAAGTGCATTCCACCTAACTGCTTGTTCCCAAAAATAAGCATCTGTAATCTGTCATACTGTTCAGAGGGAAAGGAAGACATCGGTAAGATAAAGCACTTAATTTTTAAAGCTTCTGAGACAAGTGGTTTGTGACAATTTTTTCCATTGCCCATTAGATGACATAGGGGATATATCCTGCAAAATGTCTTCTTGTCTGACTAATCTTTTAAGGCTGTAATTTGGCTCGCCTTGAATGTCGCATTCCAGGAGTTTTAAAGGGAAAACGATGATGGCACTAAGGGATGCTGCTCTCGGGCACGGACGGGACTCGGGCAGCTGTCGGAGGTGCCGTGCCTGCCGGCAGCGGGTGGGTGAAGCGCCGCTGCGCCAGGGCCGGCATCATGGAGCTCTCTCCTCTCCCGGACCGCGGGGCGCGCACCGAGGCCGGCTCCGCTGCCCCGCACGCACAGGGGTGGCCGGGGCCAGGCACCCGCCCGGGGCACAAGAGACGCCTTTAAGGACAGCATTTCCAAAAGCAAAGGCGGCTTCGGCGAGAGGCTGAGCCCGCCGGCGGGCCGGCAGCCCCCGTCCCCCTCCCCTCGGTGGCGGCTCCCCCGCGCCGCGGCCGCCCGCCGGCATCCCCGCCCCGCGCTGCGGAGGAGCGGCCCCCGCCCGCGGCAGGAGCAGCCCCGGCTCGGGGCGGAGCGGGGACCGGCCGGGCCCGGTTACCTGTAGGAGGTGGTGTGGCCGCCGTCCGCCTGCGAGCGCGGCCGGAGCTGCTCGGGGCCGTCGATGGCCGGTCTCCCGCCGCCGCCGGGCAGGGCGCAGGCGGCGCGTCCCGGGGCGGGCTGGGGGGCGGCCCCGTCCCTCCCGCCGCCGCCGCCGCTACTGGCGCTGACCCAGGGGAAGTCGTCCCTCCTCGGGAGGGGCCACGCTCTGAAGTCCCGCCGGTACTGGGTCTCCGCCGCGAAGGGCTCTTCGGCGGCGGCCGCCCGGCTCTTTCTGCGGCCGCTCGGCTTCCCGGCGGCGGGGTCCCGAGGGCGGCGCACCGGGGCGGGCGGGCGAGCGCTGCCCCGCGGAGGGGGCCCGCCGCGCTGGGGCGGCCCGTCCTCCTGATCCTCGATGTCCGAGTAGTTGTGGATGGTGAGCGGCACGGAGAGGTCGGACTTGTCCAGCTGGCTCCAGAAGCGGGCCAAGCAGCACACCCGGCTGATGCAGGGCCAGGCCATGGCCGCGGCCGCAGCCCCCTCCTCGCCCGCAGCGGCGCTCGCGGCTCCGGCGCCCGCAGCCGGCCGCGCTCCCGGCTTCAGCCCTCATCGGCGGCAGCCCCTCCTCCCGCCGCCCCCTTCCCCGGTAACGACACCCCCTCGCCGGGATTACGGCCCGCACACGTGACCCGGCTGCCGGCGGGAGCCCCGTGCAGCTGCGGGGGCTGGCGGCGGTGCGAGCGCGGGGAGCGCGGCCGGCACCGGACCCCGCCGGGCTCCGTCCCCGGCTGCCTCCGGGGGCACCGGCTCTGCCCGTGCTGCTTCGGGTCCCGGTGTCTGTCGGTGCTTTGCGAGCCGCTCTTTAGGTGCCCGGGAGCGCCGCAGCGCGCCCAGTGACGGCCCCGGCCAGGAACGCTGCTCCGCGCTAGCCGGGTGGTGCTGCTCAGCTGTGCCTTCGAGGCAGCCGTAAGCGTTTGTATGCGAAACCTGGCGCTTGTTTTATAAGTGATCTCAGTGAGAAACAGCAGCATTGCGATGTTGGTTTCCAAGAGCTTCGTGCAAATCCTCACCTCTCATAATCCACCTCCATTTACATTACGAGTTTAACCAATTCACTTTTTAAATACTATTAGCCAAAATCCAAGCATCTATTATATATCTCAATATAGGACCTACATCCTTTACTGTTCACCCGAGACTGCAAATTACAGCTTTCCTTTTACACATTCAGGTTCAAACCAAACAGCCCTGGTACAAACCATTGAAACTGACAGAATTACATCAGGAATAAAGTCAGGCTTTTGAAATTTGACATTTTATGGCCGGTAGCCACTTATTACATAATGCTCCTCCACAATTCCCCATTCAATGGGTTATTACCAAAGCTGAATCTTCCAAAGGGTCACCAAACTGTGAAATGCAATGCTGTAAAAGTGAAGAATGCAGATAAACTGATATGCCACCTATTGGAAAATCTATTAAAAGGCTAACAGGACAGGCATTTCATTTCAGAATATAATAATCCAATTACAGGTGCTTATCTGATAAGCAAGGGGTAATAGCTTTACATTGAGAGAGGGCAGGTTTAGATTAAATAGTGAAATAAATTTTTCCTAATGGAGGTGGTGAGGAACAGGTTGCCCAGAGAAGCTGTGGATTCTCCATCCCTGGAAGTGTCCAAGGCCAGGTTGGATGGGCTTGGAGCAACCTGGGATAGTGGAAGGTGCCCCTGCCCCTGGGAGTGGGGTAGAATGAGATGATCTTTAAGGTCCCTTCCAACCCAACCCACACCATTCTGTGAAGCATTATTAAGAAATTAATAATGCAATGGAAGTTGAGAAGGTAAAATTTATTGCTTTGTTTCAGCTAAGCAGTTTCTATCCTAGTGAATTAGCACCTCACTTCAGTCCAGATTTACACCTGCTCCTGGGGTGAAGGAGGACTAGGAATCTGCATATGGACTGGGGCAGAACCTCTCCTTGAGTGTTTGGCCTCCCTCTGAAACACAATCATGGCACAAAAGGAAATTCCTTTGCACATGATCCTGTTGTCCTAAATATCTGATTTAGCACTTGCCCCTGCTGCTACCAGTTTTGATTTCACCATCCCCCCCTCCTCACGTCAGCTGGGGCAGGATGACTCAGAAATGCCAGGTAAAAACATTTTGATCCCAACACAGAACTCTTGTCCAATACTATGTAGGCTGTTGGATGCTGTGTTTCATTTGCTGTCTGAAAACTCCACAAATGTAATTCTACTTTTAGGAATATCCAGGGAGACATTTATGAATTTTCTCCTGCTCTTGGTTTTCTGGAACTGCTCTATTCTATGTTGTAATTTTAAAAAATACATTGTATCTGGTAAAGAGAAACACTTTTTACAGCCCTGGGAGAAAACAGAACATGTGCTTTATCATGTTATCAGTGGCACAGTACAAATGATGCTCTGATCCTTGTTCCTAGGCCTGACTTAGCAAAATGCATTGAATAAATCGGATGTCTCTGCTCATCCTGTGCCTGACACTTCCTAGCACTGAGTTCAGCTCTGGCACTGCATGTCTCTGAGCCCACCTACAGCATCAGGGAGTGCTTGCAGCAGCTGCTCATCACAGCTTGTAGGATGAAATTGGCACAAAGGCTAACTCAGACAGGAAAACCAGAAGATGCTGGATGAGATTAAAAAGTTGTCTGCATTTAGAAGATTTGTCATGATTAAAAGCTTGGGAGGAGGAGGGGTGGAATACTGCAACACTAAGACAAAAGCCATCAAATCAGAAAGCAAAACAGCTTGCTGCCAGGAATGGGGGCTGAAAGCTCAAACAGTTTTAACACTAAAATGAAATTCCAATAGAGCAGATCACTAAAGCAAATTATTCCTTAAACATGGCAAGGCCAAAGCAGACTTTAAAGCCACTGAAAAAGGATCAAAAATTGTGTCTCTACATGATTAACCACGACTTTTTACTTATTGCTGTTTTCCTACACAAACACTAGCTGTTGTCTCTGCCAAGTGTCCACATAATCACCACATTGTATTTTTATTCACAATAATCTCTTTGAAAAGGGAGGGGAAAGTCTTTCCATGTGGTTGGTTTTGTTTTAGGTGATTGGTTCTTTTTGTTTTCTTCTAGGTTAGGATTTTGGGCTTTTTCTATCATTCTTCTAATTAATTTTCCAGTCAAAGGTGTGACTAAATGCTGAGATACTGACATGTGCTGATGCCACATTTTGCAAGAAGTGCATACTTGCTTGCCAGAAAGGTCTCTTATGTACTCTAGTGAGCTGTTGTAATTTCAGGGCATTCCTTGTCTCTGTGTGTGCTGTGCTGTGCTGTGCTGGGCTGTGCTGTGTGTGCTGGGCTGTGTGTGCTGTGCTGGGCTGTGCTGGGCTGTGCTGTGCTGGGCTGTGCTGTGTGTGCTGTGTGTGCTGTGCTGGGCTGTGCTGTGCTGTGCTGGGCTGTGCTGGGCTGTGCTGTGTGTGCTGTGTGTGCTGTGCTGGGCTGTGCTGTGCTGGGCTGTGCTGGGCTGTGCTGTGCTGTGCTGTGTGTGCTGTGTGTGCTGGGCTGTGCTGTGTGTGCTGTGCTGTGCTGTGCTGGGCTGTGCTGTGTGTGCTGGGCTGGGCTGTGCTGGGCTGGGCTGGGGTGTGCTGTGTGTGCTGGGCTGGGCTGTGTGTGCTGGGCTGTGTGTGCTGGGCTGTGCTGTGCTGGGCTGGGCTCTGCCGGGCTGGGCTCTGCCGGGCTGTGCTGAGCTGTGCTGGGCTGGGCTGGGCTGTGCTGTGCTGGGCTGTGCTGTGTGTGCTGTGCTGTGTGTGCTGTGCTGTGCTGTGTGTGCTGGGCTGTGCTGGGCTGGGCTTTGCTGTGCTGGGCTGTGCTTCGTGTTCCGCTGCCCTCTCTCTGCTGCAGGCAGGGCTGCACTGTGCCTGAAGCTCTGGAAACTGCCATGCTTGGCCAGAATACCCCAGCACAGAGCAGGGAAGGGGAGTGATAGACTGGAGACTGAAAGCCAGAAAACTCCAGGAGCAGAGCAAAGGAATATTAGCTACTCCAGCTCCTTCATTTTTAAGTGTTTACGTCACCAGGCACATGAAGTTGCACATCCTCAAGTGCCTCATTTTTCTAATGAAGAGAAAAAAATTAAACAAGCACTGGCCTGGGACAGGGAGTTTACACTAATTTTGTACTCCATCCTTTATTGAAGCCGGTGCCATGTATTCCCTTTCCCCACAGAAATTTATTTTATATGAGGCACTGCTATAAAGTAAAAACACCTACAAAGTTGCTTCTTACAAATGCAACATATTCTTGGCAGGAGAGTCTATGTGGAAGGACTAACTCAGCTGACAGGAAAGAGTTAAGGGCTTGAAGCCACCAGCTTGTGTCTGCGAAAATTCCTCAGCCTTTGGCAATGGGTTCAATATCAGCCCTGCATGACAGGCACAGAGTAGCAGCACACCCCAAATCCAGTTTTTACTTGTAAATAGGAACACTGCTTATGGTACTACCCTCAGCTTGACTTTAGCAGTTACTTCTCTTAACAGCATTGCTGATCTCAGGCACCTCATCTATTGTTGCTGAAGCTGCTTATTTTGTAAAACTGGCAGATTCTGAACCATATGTTACAGGTTTAAAATCCTTAGAAAAACCTTAAACAAAACTTAACAATAAGGCACAGCTTAAAGAATACCCCTCTACCCCACCCCCAAATCAAAGTAGTGAAAGAATACAGAAAGGAGTGTAACTCATGGTAGAATATCAAAAACCACAGTATGTCATTCTTCCCCTGCATGTCATTATGAAAAGGATATATCATTGTAGTAAAATCTAATAAGATCTAAAAGCTTGCTGGAACTCAACAGAAAAGAAAACCACAAGTTGAATAAACCACAGGTGACAAAGCTGGACCATCAAACCAGTACATAAGCCTTGGCAAACAATCCACTCTTGCTACATATATTTCAAGTTTCAAATCAAACAAGACCACTGCCTCACTTCGTCCAATATTTTCAACAACAAGAACCACTGAACTTCACCATATTAGCCTTGTTTGAGTCCCACTTTCCCTTCTAGGAAAGCACCTTGTATTGTCTGGCAGACATTAGGGGTCTGTGATCCATTAAATTCCTCAGTTCTGAAAATGTTTATCTTGCTAATATTAACCAGTTGCATCCCATTTTCATTTTTTTAACAGAGATTTAGGTCACTTAATTGAAAAACATGTTTTATTCACCTTTGAAAAGGTAATGTGGACTGTTACTTCAGAAAGCAATAGGATAAAAACCTTTATTGTTCCACCTTTGAAAGAGTTCATTTTCTATGGGTATGAATTTTTGTAACATAATTTTGTTACATTAGAAACTTCAGCTCCTTAGAGGCTTAATGTGGAGTAGCAAAAACACCTTCCAAACCAATTCAATCCCATGTCTTCAAGTAAGATACCACTTGGGCACGAGGAATCTCTAGGATTAGAATCAGTTAGATCTTCCACCTCCTCCCTTTCCTGTGTTCTTTGTCCTCATTTCATGCCAAGCTTTCACCAGTGGTTCTCTGT